TTGAAGTTTATATTTCAGTTTTTTTGTTTCTTATTTCTTGCACATAAGTTGGAGTTTATTTGTGAGCTAATCTGTCGTCTCCTCCCAACACTGGTTCTTCATGCTCCATCTAAATACTCTGCCTCTAATTAAATCCTTTATTAGTTCCACAAAATCCTGAATGTACTATCATGGGTTTGCATCAATGAGACATAATTTCAGATCAAGGAGAAGAAAGCAATACTTTATAAAATTTATGGACCTAGCAGCCGACTTAGCAGATGGTGCATTTGAATTTTCCGCCGTGCTGTGAAGCGCCAGATGATATGAGGGATAATATGGCCTATAGTATATAGCAAACAGACAACTTTAAAATATCTGAAGCCAACCAGATTATGGAAGGTGCACGTGTAAGATGTTTGATGAAGAATGAAACTGATTTACACATAAGAGTGTCGAACAACTTAAGATTTTGGGATGTGATTTAGTTCCACATAATTTATTAGGACGCTACAAATTTTGACTATCTGTTATTGGGGTTTCGGAGTATTAGAGGGCGGGCCAAATAGGTAAAGAAGATAACCTAATGAATTATTTTTAATCAAGAAGATACTATCTATCTTGTTGAATAAAAAAAAATAAGAAAGTTGCTCTTCTTGATTGATGAAGTACATGACATAAAGGAGCACAAGTTTGAACCGATTTTAGTTCTTTATTTAGTTATTTTTATTATTGTTTTTAAATTCAGGTCAAATTATCATTTGTTAGGAGTTAAGAGACAATGAAGGAATTTTAATAAGGATTGGCATCTAGGGTATAAGTGGCCGCACTATCATGTTGGATAAATTGGTGTATGCATTATATTTCGTTAATAAAAATCACGTGCATGTAAATACTAAAGTAACGATTTACTGAATCATAGTACATGCATAATAATAAGCAAATCACTTGTTCAAACGTAGAAGACACATAAATCGAAGGAGACAAAATGAAGCAAAGTATGCGAACGCAAGTCTCCTTAAGATGAATTTAGCCTCTGTATTGGTGATAACAAGATCAAATGGACGTCCTTTTCCCAAGATACAATATGTTTCTTCCAAAATTAATATAACATACTATTAATTTTGTCTGGTGAGCCAATGTTTGACCATTCTCTTCTAAAATGGAAGATATTGAATAGTAAATATCAAACACGAAACTCAAAATAATATGGAAATTATTTTGATAGAATTTAGAAAAATGAAGAATTACAAATCAATTATTAAGAATTAATTTAGAGTAAAGAAAATGGGATTATGAAGGTCCTATATATAAATTTTCATGTGTCTCTTCCTAACAGTCGCATCTTTTGGCAAATTTCATTTCAATTATTAGGTCGCACCATTTCATGATTGATGGTCTAGATTGCACCTTATTAAAAGGTCCTGACTTTTCGTTAAGCACCTTTTGCACTTGAAGAGCCGTACCCAATCAACATACCTATTGGAGACTTTTCCAATTCACACTTTCAAATCTTTTTATGTACCCTAAAATTTCAACAATCCCCTACATAAATGGAAAAAGTCTACTCAGTACAAAAAAGATGAAGAAGAGTACAACTGAAATTTAATGCCTCAAGATCGGTAGCTTTTGCTTTGAACCTTCCCTATTAAAAATCTGTCGAACTCACTTGGCTAATCAGTGAACGCAACATTTTGAACTATTGGTCGTTATTGTAAGTCTAGACAATAGATCGAACACATTATCTTTCATACCAAACTTTGGTTCTCTATTGAGTTCATTATTTCGACCGTGAACCTTCTTGGTTTTGCAAATGCACTAGAAAATTCTCATAGAACTGGCCTAGTTCGCACTCACATAGGTGATGTTCAATAAATAGTACCCTACAATACTTCATTTATACTATTTACAATATATGGTCATGATTAAAAGCATAGCTTATCCTAACTGATGTTTAGTAGGCAACACTTATTTTCATCATAGAAATTGGGAGGAGTTAAAACTCCGAAGCACTACTTGTCAAGTCAATCATAACTAATTTTCCTATTAAACCTAGTCTATGGCATCTCTAGTCGCCATGTTAGGTTCCCATTAGTTTAGAATTTACACCCATTTCCTTAGATGCACAGTTTATTCTCACTAAATAACTCATTTGTAAACGGATCCGATGTGTTATTTTACGGCAGAACAATCAGAATTGTTCCATTTGAGAGTAACTGTCGAATAGAGATATTTACTTTTATTTGCTCAAGGTCATTGAATGCGCGTGCCTATCTCATGCAATTTTTGTGAAACTACTAAAACATCTGAACACATAAATGATTAGATCTTATTTTGAGATTTAAAAATACTAAGAATTAAAGCTCCTAAAAGAATCCTATTTCAAAAATTAAACTCATCCACTAAACAGTAAAATATCATCTAATCTGTAAGTAAATTAAATACGCATTATAATTTATAAAATTGATCAGACAGCGGCAAATGTCTTGTTGGTTTCAGCGAAGATTGCTGTAAGGTCGATGTCTAAGGCTGCTGTGGTAGCAAGAGCAGAGGATGAGCAGAGGGCCAAGGAGGCTGCATTCACAAGGATAAGGGAAAAAGAGGCAATGGAATATGTGGTATACTTGGTTGTAACGGAGAAGGTGAGGAAGAAGGAAGCAGCTCTGTTCATATCACCTAACGTGTCAGGGCCAATGGTGGGGAGAACGTGGCTCATTTTGGTGGTGCTAGTGTTGAAAGTGGTGGGAATGTAGGTCATCCTGGTGGTGGTATGGTATAAGTGACGAGAGAAAATTACACCAGTATTAATAATAGTGACAGTGCTAGAAGTTAA